GTTGGATCGCCTTGCAGTCCAAGGGACTCGCATAAGTCTTCTCCAGCACCAGAGTTCAAAGGCCTCCATTCTTTGGCGCTCATCTTATGGTCCAACTTTCACAGCCATCCATTGCAACTGGAAAACCTAGAAGTGTTACTTCTAGACAAAATATTTTCCTAAATTTAATTTCAATTTCTGGCTCTTTGCACAATTGATATTAGTCATGAAAACCAAATTCATTGGGTATTACAAATATTTTTCTCGATGTATGTCAAAAATGTTCTACTTTTAGAAAATGGAAATTGGCTATTTCCTTAAAAATATTAAAAAGAAAAGCTGACATGGTTTCTTTTCAGAAGGGTTTATAAATTAAGAATAAGTTGGCACTCTAAAATATATTTATGGATCTAATTTATACCCAGGTTTTTGCAATCCCTCATTTATATCTACTCTTTGGATTTATTCCTAGCATTACTGATTTCTGGGTTGTATTCTGAATTATAAGCATCATGCTGAATTATAAGTTTATATAATTTACCGATATATATATGCACAGAATAGTTCAGACACATAATTCCATTAATTATTTCTGTGACTTCAGACTGATTAATAATGCTTATCTGTATTGGATTTTGCTTTAAAAATGATACTTTAAAATATAGTAAATCAATACTTGAATTGGGGTCTTCTCCTGGGAGGAGATCTATTACACAAAATAGATTAAAGGTGACACACGAAATTTATAAAATGCAAATATTTGTCATTGCGTTTTTCCAACAAGTAACAGGAAGGCAGTTATTTATTAGATTGTATTGCCTTGCCTTTCCAGGAGAACCTTTAATCTCCTAGGATTAAAACAGCATTTTGCTAACCTTACTTAACAGCATTTTTCTCCTGGCACTTCCTTTCTGGAGAAAGAATTACCCAAAGTTTTGTATAACAGGCCTAGAATAAATTGTAATTGTTTATTCAGAATTTCATTTTGCTAGCCACATGTTGAAAATGAATAAAAGTAAGGGAGCAAAGTCATGTTTGCACTTGACACTACTGTCCAAGGCAGGGCTGGGTTTCGACCGGTTCGCACCGGTCCCTGCGATCCGGTTGGTCGCCGAACCCGGAAGTAAGTAACTTCCGGGAACGGCGAANATATTGCAGAATATTTAAATGCTCCATAACTAAGCTCCATTTCATGCTGAATAAACTATGTCACTAATGTATCTTAAATAGAAAACTATATTTAGATAGATTTGTTTTCCTCCAAAAGCATTTTATTAAAATAAATTTGATAAAAAATGAAAAGAAAATCCGATTAAAATAAAAAAATCTCATTTAAAATTTAAAAAATCTGATTTAAATTCTAAAAAAAATCATTTTTTTTTTAAAAAAATTGATTTATATCCACCTTGGTACCAGATTTGATGAATTTCAAAAAAGTTGAGTACCAAGGTATCACTGCATGTATATGTGTGTGTGTGTGTGTGTGTGCTAGATGTATGTGTGTGTGTGTATTTACACATACACACACATAAAGAGGAAAAAAAATACCCTAAGAGTTCTTCTGTTATCATCTAGCATTAGATTGTTCCCCTCTATTACTTCTGAGTAGAAGGCAGAACTAGAGAGGGGAAAAAAAATCTTTCTATTTCTTGAAATTCTACTGTGCTTCCTTGATGTCTCCTAAGGGGAACATTGTTTAAAACAACTATTTTTCCCCCCATGAATTTTCTATATGAAAATTAAGTCACACCTTTTAATTTACAAAAGTGCCTTAACTAAGCATGCTGTGTACTGCCTTCAGGAGATAAAAAACAAAGAGAGTGATAAAAAAACAGAGGAGACGGGCTTAGTATTAGAAAACATATTTTCACCCCCTCAACCTTACATTGGAAACATTTCCTTTATTATCCTAAGCAGCCTGGATGCTTTTTTCCCCCATTTTACTCTCTTGCAAAGTCTTTTGTTTTCTGAAGCCTAAAATAAATCCAGTTATAAGTGTAGCTGTGAGGGGGAAATTATTGCAGACTTCCACTCAAATTGAATTTTTCGCTTTAGAAAAAAAAATGCTAGCAAAATATTTTTTTCCCCACATGTACAGATCCTTATTTTTAGAGTCAATTTAGTGCATTGTGGGATGTGCAATGAGTGGCTATTTTATCCTTATTTATTATTTATGTGGAAAAGAAAATATATAGTATATACACATATTGTTCACCATGATTGTTTCATGGGTATTCCTGAAAGTGTTTGGTTCCTTTATCTTATTCAAACGACTATCTCTTACGGTTTCTCTATATTGGTATATGATTTTTTTTCTCCTTCCACAATTAAAACTTAAACACATAACCGGTTTTAACCCCTCTGAAATACTAAAATGATAACATTGTCATATTTAATAAAGCCTACATTTTGGTGTTCTGCTTAGACCCTATGGGAATGCAGCCGCCAAGAAACCTTAATAAATAACACAATGAGACGTAACACAACATATCACATTATTTAGCATCCTATAACAATTTTTGACTATGAGAAAGCAATTATTGCATCATGCATAGAGATGAAACTGATAAAAATTGCACAAAGCAATGCTGATTTTACTTAGAATGAATGTCAGCAGTGTTGTTCTATAATCTGTTCTGTATCGTTCTTCCTCCCCCATGCCACAACTCTAAAGCAACAATATTTTTGCGTGTGTTATGAGTACAGTCATTAACTGTTAAATTATACTCTGGATTTGTAAAATAAGGCGTGATGTAAACATTTTGTTTTTTTAACATGCTCATTTTTTATGTTGTGTTGTGTTTTCCTATTTTAAATTGTATTGTTTTGTGTTTTTAATCTTTTTAATATTTTAATTGTTTTCATGTAAGCCACCCAGAGTTCTTCGGGATTGGGCGGCATACAAATCTATTAAAATTCAAATTCAAATTCAATTTTTTTCTTATTTTTTTTTCCTTGAAGGAAGAGATATGCAAGCTTTGTTGCAAAGTGGAATAGGGATAAAACCTTAATAATGTTAAGAATCACACCAGCAGAAGCACCGTAAGCTACCAATTTGAAATCAGAATATTCTTCATTAGCAAATGCTATCGCTCAATCAATTTTGATACAATTGTTCCTCCTAGTGAACAGAGTAATATGTGAGGAAAAACTTGACATGCACAGTGTTCTGACTAAACACTAAAAAACCCTTTTATTAATTTCCTATGGATTCTGCTCATTCACATCCATCAAAGTCTTTCAAGGGTGGATTTACAGTCACAGACTTTATTTTTCTTGGAGAGCTGCCAGGCTGATATCTGCAGAACTTGACAAGGAGTCTCAGAGAGTCACAAACCAATTACGTGAAGTAACTGTCTCCTGCAAACTCCACTCCCTTTTCCCTTCTCTTGTATTTCCTCTGGAGGGGCCATTCATCATCCACCTGTGGCCTTACTCCCAAGTTGACCCCTGTTCTGTAGCTGTTCTCTTCGACTGGCAACTCTGCACATGCACACACTGGGACAGGCTCCAGCTGTTCTTTTGCCCCACTGATGTCTGACTCTGAAGGCAGCTGATAACTGGCATATGGCTCTGGCCCTCTTTCTGCCTCCGACACAGAGCCCTCATCAGAGCCTTCCCCAGACTCCAGGACTGGCCCAGGTTCCTCCCCAACCTCCTCACTGTCCGAATCTGCTCCCAGCTCTGCTGGCCGCTAGCAGACCACAACAGTAACTTCCCCAGGAAAAGAAGGAGAAAACCTTTCATCAGGAATCCAGTCCAACTACATGCCACATAAGCACTACATGACAGAAAAGAATGCCTTCCTAAGGTGGGACAGTTATTGGAGTTAGCACAATCTCTTTCTGCAATTGGAAGGCTAACTCTTGGCCGTGTTTCTTCTGAACTCAGTGGTTGAACCACTAGAATTTCTCTTTCAATGGTATGTTAATAAATAACCAGAAAGTATTTTTTTAAGCTTTCTGGGGTCTCCAAAACATGTTGTACATGGGGGGAAACATTCCAGTTAAACCAATTAAGGAACAAAAGAGGGGGGGAAAGGAGAAGCGTCTGAGAATGTCAGAGAATAACAAGCCATAAAGTTTTACATGAACCCTACAAACTTTATTGGCTTCTTCAAAAAATGTGATGTACCAAGAGGAAAAACAGAGAGAAAAAGCCTGCGGTTACCCCCTCCTAAACGAATTGATCTTAGTGTTAGACATGTCCCTTGAATTGTTTGCCGCCCTGAGTCCTCCCGGAGAAGGGTGGCATACAAATAATAAAATACAATACAAAATACAATGTCTTNGACCCAAATTTCTGAGCTGTTCTTTTCTTCTGGCATCTCTGCACATATGCACACTATGAATAGGCTCCAGCTGTTCCTCTGCCTCACTCAATTCATAATTTTAAATCCCGCGGACCACACTTACAAGTTTTTTTTAAAAAGATGAATTGTATTTACTACAATATTTTAAAAAAGCAAAATAATTTTTCTGCAGACCCCTGGTTGGTGACCACTGCTTTGGAGAATAGCTTGACTCCCTCTTCTTTGTGGCAGCCCCTGAGATATTGGAAGACTGCTATCATGTATCCCCGGGTCCTTCTTTTCATCACACTAGACATACCCAGTTCCAGCAAATATACAGTATATCAAGAGCACACACCCCTCACATTTTGTCAATATTTAAGGATATCTTTTCATGGGACAACGCTGAAGAAATGACACTTAGCTACAATGTCAAGTAGTGAGTAGGCAGCTGGTATAACAGTGTAAATGTACTGTCCCCTCAAAATAACGTAGCACACAGCCAGATAGAGTTAAATATTGACAAAATGTGAAGTGGGGGGTACTTCTGTGACCTACTGTAAGTGTAAGGGCTGTTGCTAGCGCTGACCCTCGCTGTTCCTTGCCCAAAGATTTCCAGAAGCTGACGGCGGCGGATGACAAAACGGCCCAGGTGGAAGACTTCCTGCAGTTCCTCTACGGGGCGATGGCCCAGGACGTCATCTGGCAGAACGCCAGCGAGGAGCAGATGCAGGACGCCCAGCTGGTGATCGAACGCAGCGTCATGAACCGCATCTTCAAGCTCGCCTTCTACCCCAACCAGGATGGGGACATCCTGCGGGATCAGTGAGTCTGCTCGCCGGCTGAGTCTCCTCCTTGCTGTCCTCGGGGTTTTCAGCCCACACGGAGATTGGGAGGGGGGCGGCTCTTTTCAGGGGAGACTCTATGTGGTCTCACCCTACACTCCTGAGTTTCAATCGAGGGGGATATCTGCAGCTCGGGGTTGAAACGAAGGGGTCCTCGGTGCTCTCCGTGCTTGGTGGTTCTCTTGTAGACATTTCTAGCCCTGATGAAGTTACCTAGTTGGGTAATGAAATCATCATCATCATCTTCATTTAATGAGCCCATAATCACTTGCAGGGTGGGATTTGGTTTATTGGCCGGATGCTCTTCCTGTTGCCAGGGCGGAGTTTTGTTCAGCAGCTCCATTTTCATCATCCCCAGAGAGAGGAAATATCACCCTCTACCTAGGATCGAACTCACAGCCTCCTGATTATGAAGCGAGAGCGCCACCCCTAGGCCGCCGCACCCACTCCTATCTCAGCTGGCTTCCGACAAGCAAAATGAAACCAGGGAAGCCGGTTTCGCTTAACGACCTTATCATTCACCGAACTGCGGTGGTTTGCTTCACATTCACAGCAAGGGGAGGGAAAGGTCATAAAATCGGACGTGGCTCCCTTAGCAACCACCTTAGGAGTGGAAATTCTAAGTTATGGTCGTAAGATGAGGCTCGCCTGCGTTGTCCAAGAGAATTGGGGAGAGACGTAACAAAGAGACAACAAAGTGACACTCCTCCTCCTCCTCCTTTCGTTTATTGCCAGGCTTCTTCATGACCACATCCAGAGATTGTCCAAAGTGGTGACTGCCAACCATAAAGCTCTCCAGATCCCAGAGGTAATCCCTCATCTCAAAAGATCCCTTCCTTCCGGTCGCAGAATCCACCAGGCTACAAGGGGAAGCGTGATTAAAACCTGTGCAAAAATGAGCCAGCCAGTTGGGGAGCAAGGAAGAGGGGAAGGCTGGCAGGTTGTAACCCAATAGTTAGTGATTTTTGGTGACTTACGACTGGTGTTTTGGCATTGCGACCTTGCCCATGTTTAGCAATTTGGGCGCTTGGCAGCTGGCTCCTATTTACAATGGTCGCAAGGGGCCACACGGTCCCCTTTTGTGACCTTCTGACCAAAGTAAATGGAAGAAGCCTGATTCGCTGGACCCGGGCCTCATTGCTAACTTAACAACCACAGAGATCCACTTAAAACAACAGTGGCCAGAATGGGCATAAAATGGGGCATGAAACTCACGGAACAACTATCTCTTTAGCAGTTAGAAATTTCCGGCTCCCTTGGGGTCATAAGTTGAGGACAGTCTGTAGTGGGGGGAAGACATGACTATGGAGGTGGATACCTGTGGCTTGATTTTTTGATTGTGGCCCGCCAGCAGAGCTGGCGGCAGATTCGGACAGTGAGGAGGGTTGGGGAGGAAGATGGGCCAGTCCTGGAGTCTGGGGAAGGCTCTGAGGAGGGCTCTGTGTCGGAGGCAGAGAGGGGGCCAGGGCTGTATGCCAGTTATCAGCTGCCTTCAGAGTCAGACATCAGTGAGGCAGAAGAACAGCTGGAGCCTGTTCCCAGTGTGCGCATGTGCAGAGTTGCTAGCAGCTAGATGAAGGAAACAGCTAAAGAACAGGGGTTGACTTGGGAGTATGGCCACAGGTGGACGATGAATGGCCCCTCCCAGAGGAAATAAAACAGGAGCGAAAAGGGAATGGAGTTTGCAGGAAACAATATTTCGCTTAATTGGTTTGTGACTCTCTGAGATGAGCAATAAATTAATAAAAGGGGTGTTCATTTGGAACAGGCTCCAGCTGTTCTTCTGCCCCACTGATGTCTGACTCTGAAGGCAGCTGATAACTGGCATACAGCCCTGGCCCCCTCTCTGCCTCCGACACAGAGCCCTCATCAGAGCCAACCCCAGACTCCAGGACTGGCCCATCTTCCTCCCCAACCCTCCTCACTCTCCGAATCT